ATTCTGTTAAGAAGAACTTCCCCTCATTTGTTAGAGCTATTTGGTTATCCTGAAATACAGTTCATACTAGAAAGTAGGATAAATCTGAATTCTGTCCCTTTAATTATCATTTTGCAGTGTTCTAGTAATCTCCAATATGACATTTAATGACTTTTTTCTCCCTCTTTGTCTCTTCCTATTAATCAGTGATGGTCATTTCTCTCTCTCTGTTTTGTTAAAACATCCAAGAATATTTTTCCCATTGATTTTTAGAAAGTGAAAGGGAGTTGGGGGTTCGGGGAGAGAGACATTGATGTGAGAGAGATGCATTGATTGGTTGCCTCCTACACATGCCTCAACTGAGACCGGGGATCAAGCCTCCAACACAGATACATGCCCTTGATCAGGAATCAAACCAGCAACCCTTCAGTGTGTGGGCTGATGCTCTAATCACCGAGCCATGCAGGCCAGGGCTCATTTCTCTTTTTGATGTTCAAATTATTTCATCTGAGACCAAGGGAAGCCCCTTCAAGCTGGTGGTGTTATCCTTTTGACGCGGTTCCATTCGTCTTTGATGGCTTATTTGTTCCTGGCATGACAAGATATTCTAGGTTCTCTTTGTACTTTCCCAGTCCATTTCTCCAAGGAGCTCTGATTTCTTTTAGTAGGGAATGGTATTTAGAGACTGTAATCTGGATCGGGGGTCCTCATTACTACCGGGTGGTCATTGCTTTGGGTCTTTCCAGTGGACAGAGCTAGGAAATATGTATATTTAAAAGTAACCAGAATGGTGGTTGCCAGGAGCTGGGGAGAGGGGAGAATTTTAAGGGTAAAGGACACAGGGGATCAGTTTGGAAGGATAAAAATGGTGGTGATGGTCGCACAACAGTGTGAATGGTTAATTCACACTGAACTATATACTTAAAAACGGTTAAGTGATAAATTTTGTGTTATGTATATTTTACCACAATAAACAAATAAAATTCTCTTACAGCAGCAGCAAAAACCTAAAAATATTAGAACTTTTCACTGATATTTCCATTTTAAACCAATTTTAAGACTATAAGGATTCAGTGAATTTTTTACTTTTATATTTGTATATCTTTATTTTTATACTTCAAACTTAGGTCTGATTTGCTTCTGTAATAATAATTCTATTATGATAACCATACCTGGTTTGAGCTTTTCCACAGCACTGCTCCACTCTGGGACCTGGGCTTCTGAACTTCGGATTCTGAATCTTCTGTCTTCTCTTTTGTCACAGACTTTACTACCCAGTCTTGCTGGCCCCTCTGGGGAGGTGGTGAAATCCACAACAGGCGTGACACCCTCGTCTGCTTCTGGAAGTGGCGACAAAATCTATGCCTACCAGATGGTCCGCACTGACTCCCGGGAGCAGAAGCTCGATGCCTTTCTGCAGCCTGCGAGCACAGTCGGTCAGCCCCAGGCCGTTGTCCCGGAGGACAGCACAGGCACCTCCAGGGCCGGGCAGCAAGATGAGGAAATGCCGGAACTCCCAGCTCCCGACGGGGCTGCCAAGGGTCGGAGTTCAGAGGAGATCGCGACAAAGGGGACTTTGGAAACGTCAGAGAAGAGAGGGTCCCCCTCCAGCCTGGACAACCCAAGGTATGGCCCTTCTGGAAAAGTGCAACTTGCCTCCTTTGTTCTTAATAAAACTGCCTCTAACGTGGACTGTTCATGAACCACATGTTTCTTCTCTCCCCTCGGCCTCCGATGGGACAGTGCTGGGGCTTTGTCCACTGTCTGCCTTTGACTATGTCTTGAGAGTCACCCATCATAGTGGCCTTTGAATTGTCTTATATGTCCATGATCCCAAGCATTAGTTAACAGCATCAGGAAAAAAATCAGACTTACCCTTTATTTTTAGTAATGACTTTTGATAAGGCCTCACAGCAGCGGTGGCTAGAGAGAAGCCTAACATACCTGGAGGATTCTCTTTCATCCCCCTCAAACCCGCTTTCACTCCTTTCAGAGGAAACACACTTTCTCAGTTCAGGTTATGAGCCTCCCGGAAGCACGTGGCTGGTGGTGAGCGGGGGTAGAGAAGGCAGGACCAGGACTAATGACTGCCATTGCATTCTGAGCATTTCCAGTACAATCTGCAGCTTCTTGAAAGACATCATGCTGAAGTCTGTGAGGTGGATATTCATTGTTCGTGTTCAGGTACTGAACCTGGAGCTCAGGGTCATCTGCCCAGGGCCGCACATCCACTGGGTGGCCGAGCACCAAAGCTCTGGTACTAACTGGCCATTGGAACTTGGATAAGTTACTTAATTCCTGTTTGCTCATTTCTGAGTCAGTCTAGTGAGATGATGTCTAGGGGTTGTGTCCCCGGGAATAATGAAGGATGCTAACTTTTACTGAGCACCCACTATGTGCCAGATACTTTACATACATTATCTCATGTCATGCTCTTAACAGCCCTGCCAGGGAAGTATTACATTTCTGTTTATTAGTTGGGAAAGTAATACCACAAGCTGTTTAACCACAGCAAAGGAAATCTTTTAAAACCGGAAATCAGATTGTATTATCCTCTGCTGAAAAGCAGTGGCTTCCTGTTGCACTTGGGATAAAACCCCTGCCCTCCCTCTGGCCCACCACTTCCCTCTCCCGCGTGGTGTCTGGCCGCACTGATCTGGTGCCGACCTGAGCTCACAGAACTTCGCACCCCTGTGCTCTCACTGTTTCCTCGGCCAAGGAAGACTGGCTTCTTGTCAGTCAGATCTCAACTCACGTGTCGCCTCTTACCAGAGGCCGTCCTTGTCCATTTAATCTGAAGTCCTCTCACTCACTTCCCCACCATTCTATGATGTTCCCTTGTTTTCTTTTCTTCATAGCATTTGTTGCTACTTAAAATGATTTCTTTTCCATTGCTGTTTGACTCCCACTAGAAAGCAAGGATCGTGACGGCAGACCCCTTGTCGGCCTTGTTCATGGCTGAATGTAGTCGGTATTATAACAGTGCCTGATGGGGAGGTAAATGGAGCGCTGAACGGATGAGACTTGGGAATGGAGCGCTCACCTGTGGCTCTGCAGGGCCATGCTAGATTCCTGCCACGTGTAGGCCCGGGCTGGGCCCTGAGGGTTGGCAGAGAGGCAGCGGCGGAGAGCGGACTGGCCTTGCTGGCCTGCCGCCGGGATCCCTCCCAGAAGTGCAGAGCCAGCACAGAGAGGCTGCCCCCTTCTCCAAGACGCAGGACACCAGCTGGGCTGAAAAGAATAGTAGTGACCTGCCAGTTCCTTATCTCATTGCAGAAAGAGACATCGGGAAGGGTCTGATGTGGAAATGGTGGAAGATGAGTCCCGGAAGGAAATGACGGCAGCTTGCACCCCCCGGAGAAGGATCATTAACCTCACCAGTGTTCTGAGTCTCCGGGAAGAAATTAACGAGCGGGGACATGAGAGTACGTAAGTGCCACGTCTGTCGGGGTCTCAGAGGCCCGAACTGCTAACGTTTAGTTTTTGGAAATACAGGACATATTCGGGTGAGATGGCCACTGCAGTGTGCCGAGCAAACCTCTGCCCTCCCGCCTGGAAGGCACCAAGTTCCACTCCTGGGCGCACTGGCGTGCTGTTGCTGCAAGTGACGGGCTCTGAGGGTCCTGCCTTCACCTCCTGCCACTCCCACTTCTGTGTGACCTGAGACTCATGACCTAACCTTCTGTAAAGAGATTAATTGTACCCTCCAAGATAATTGTATTGATTAGAGATGAAATGTCAGTAAAACACTTGTTGCAGAGTAAGGAAGCAGTAGATATTTTTATATCCTGGAGACAAAGCCTCAGAAATAGCCTTCCAGAATGCCTGAGTGGACAGCTCCATTTTGGGCCCCATTACTTCAAAACTAACATTACGGTTTTAGGAAATAAAAGGGGGCTAGTCACCTCCCAGGGATGGACTGACCAGGGGTTGGGGTGTGTGACAGCGACTTGTCCCTCACCGCACTGACCCCACTTGGTGAGTCAGACAGTCATGCTCCAAGTGTGGACACCATTGCTCTGCCCTTGTGTCTACACGAGTGGGCGTGGCTTTTCCATTTTTCATCTGCAACAGATTTCTTGATTAAAATAGTTAAATTTCAACACTGCTATAAAATGTGTCTGCCACTATGATGACCGAAAGGAAATGGGTACCTTTTCCACTAATCCACAGTCTCCTGGAAGAGCTGTTCTGACTCTGGCCTCTGACATTTTCAGGTTTGAGTGAAGTCAGGATGGCCTCAATTTGCCTTTCTTATTTGCTCCCTCTTTTCTTAGCACTCGGGGCTTTTGTCTGCATGTGTCTCCAGTGCTGGGAGGGTAAGAACTTCCTGTGACTAAGGTCGTGCCAGTTGTGGAAGTAGCTGCCACTTGGCGTCTGGTTTTTGTTTCCATGAAGATTTGCTCTGGTTGCTCTTTGCCTGCTATTGGCTTCCCCGCTGGGAGCCCTTAAAACCACTTTAAATAATGTCAGAAAGGTGGGCTGTTACTTGATGTAGTTAGCAGTTTTCCTGCGGGTAATTTTAATGGACTCCCTCAGGTCTGGAATTTGCAGTTTTCTTTAAGGGTTTATATCTCTTGTGCAAAGCAGGCTATTTAAAGTTCAATTTCAATAAATTTCTGAATAGGTGCAAACTGTTTCCAGTGCAGGATAAAAATAATGTGCGTCGGGTTTGATGCAGTTTGGAGTCCATTGCTGAGGCTCAGATGATGAATTTGAATACTCTGAGACTGTGTATTCATACACATCATCTCATGTAAGTCTAGAAGAGTCTGGGGAGGGAAAGCCGGTTGACTTTGAGTTGAATGCTGTACAGGGGTTTCGAGGAAGCTCGGATTTGGTGAGCTATGGCCACTCCCCTTCATAGACCAACAGCCCGCTGCTCCCCCACGGAGCCGTGCCCCTGCCCGGGAGAGACACAGATCCGTTTCCCTGTGCCGACATCCCGGTTGCACTTGTTTGCGTGGTTATTTCAGCTGTGTATGGTCTGTGCAGGGATCGCGTCTGTTGAGCTCACTGCCTCATCCTTGGTGCCTGGCAGAGCCGGGCACGTGGACTCAGTAGGTGTTTGCCAAAGGAGTGAATGAATGACAGGAGCAGCCTGGGAGTGAAGCCTGACAGTTTTTATTCTGAAAGGATGTCCAAGTTGAACACACCGTCAGCCGACTCTCTGGTGTCTGGTGGATTTACCCATTTTTGGTGGCACATTTCTCAAATGAGGTAAATTTTTGGCCTCGTATCCAGTCCCATGTTCCCCAGAATTGGGCCCATCTCAGGTTAGTGATGCCTGAACTTATTTATTGCTGGTTCCATCATTTCAGTCTGTAAATTAATGAGGACAAGGAGTGTCCTAGGTTATTTGCTATCATTTGAATGTGAGCGCGTGCTTAACATCTTATCCACGATTTTCTTTTCTTTTCTTGGTCTTTGGTGAGCAGTTCTGGGTGTAGATGTACACACTCATATTGTCTGTCCCGGGGGAGTTTCACTGGTATGAAATCAGCTCAGCAGACACTCGTCAGGTATCTTCTCGGTACAGACTGTGCCATGCCAAGGCCTGAGGCAGGAAGGGAGCTGAATGAGCCACGAGCCCTGCCATGAGTGCTGTGGGACTGCTCACGAGAACTGGCGGCAGCGGGAGGAAGAGGGAGACGCTGTCGCAGTGCTAGGGCCCCTTCTGCAGAGCCCAGCTGGGGGCCGCTGGGAGGGCCACTGGGTGGGCTCAGAATGTGGCTGATGTCGGGGGCGGCTGCCGCTGGTGCACAGCCCTCAGGAGCTGGAGGACTGGCTCCCTTCCCTGGGTTTGGCTTCACTTGCTGCTCCAGGAAGCATGCTGAGACCAAGGCCTCCATTGTGAACTCAGATGTGTGTTTGGCTTGGAAGTGTAGAAGGATTTTGTCCCGTTTGGCTGCTGGCAGAATGGCAGGGACATGCCCACAGGCTTCTGTGCTCTGGAGGGTTTGGGGGAAGAATAAATGGAGGCCCTTCAGGTCCTGAGAAGAGGCTGTGAGGGGGTCCAAATGGCCTCATGGCACCCAGTAAGACGAGCCCTGCCTGTCTTGCTGGTGGATTTGTGCCCGGCGGAAAGCAGCCTGCAAGCCTCGGGCTGGGAGTAGGCGCCGCCTCCGCGGCCTGCGTGCTGGCCAGGGCCCCCGCGACAGATGTGGGAACTCTCTGCTGCCTCAGTGCGCCGCACGCGCTCTCCTCCAGTCCCTCATCAGTCAGGGTTATTTGATGTTCTCCAGCTTTTAAAATAATCATTTTCTGCCCACGCAGAACATCCTGCAGAGACACTGAGTTGCCAGTGGGAACAGAGGGGAACACTTATTCTAGAAATGAAGAAAACAAGCTTTTTTTTTTTAAAACGGGGGAGCAGGGAGTGTTGCAGGACTTGTATAACAATAGCTGTGGTGCCCAAGCTTTAAAAAAAGCAAGTAAAAACGTGATGTAAGGCTTACTGCTGTTTTCACACCCTTGCCCTCTGGGCTCCAACCCCCCCCCCCCCATATATTTAATGCAAAGTCATATTTATAAAATATAGGTAGGATCTACAGAAGAAAATAAATGAACACATGCTTAAAGAAACAGACCATTGCATCACTTTTGAAGCTATTATATCTTTGCTCCCTGTCCCATCCCTTGTCCTTCTCCCTTGGAGTAACCATGGCCCTAAATTTTATTATTCTTTTCTTTCTTTTTATTCTAGTTTTATCACCCACATTTGTAGCCCTAAAAAACCTACTTTTATAAGTTTTAAACTTTATATAAACACTTATACTGTATTTTAATGATAGAAATATATACACAGATGTTCCTAAAAGTTATCCATCTTGTTATGTATGCTGATTACTTTCTCTGTGTAATGGATTGCACTTCATGACTAAGCTGCATGTTTGTTCATTCATTAGAGGACTCCCATGGCCTTGCCTTTGCCTCTTACACCCCATCACCTTCCCACTCCTGAGAGGACCCAGAACTTGGCCCCCTGGTTGGGTAGCTCTGCTGCAGGGCATGTACTTAGGAGAGTTACTGCCGAGTCATAAAATGACAGTGTTTTCCAAAGGGGTCGGATGAATGTACAGTCCCACCAACAATGTGAAGAAGTTGCATTTGCTCCGCTTTTCCTCCAGTGTCTGATCTGGTATCTGACGGTGGTTTTTATTTACGTTCCCTTAGTTACTGATGAAGCTGAGTAAGTATATTTCCTCTTCTGTTAGGTGCCTGTCTGGTCTCTGACCCATTTTTCTGTTGGGTTTTTGGTCTTTTCTGATTTTAGGAGTCCTTTATGTATTCTAGGTAGTAATCAGATACATGGCAATATCTTCCCCCCGTTCAGGGCTCATCTGGTATTTTTTTCTTATGAACACTTCTTTTATGAACAGAAATTCATAATTTAATGTAGACAGATTTTATGAATTGTGCTTTACAGATTAGCTCTTTTATCTTAGTAGGAAATTATTCCTAATTCTGAGATAATTAAATATATACTCTCCTAAAATGCTTATACCTAAATCTCATTCCACCTGGAATTCATCTTTGGTATATGGCGTTAGATTCATGTGAACATCTGATGTTCCCTAATACATTGTTATTGTCAATGTGTTTGCATTTAGCAAATACTATTTGCTCATAATTCTTTCTCTCTGATCTTTCAGAGTCTGCCCTAAGCACATCCTTCAGTGGGGCCTTTGGCAAACGGAGTTTTGCTTTGTCTAATTCATTCTTCTTTTGAAAAGGTTGTTTGTGGTTTTTTTTTTTGCTTGGTTTAAAATTCAAGATTATAAATTATTTTTTTAGTGCATTGAAGGTGTTATTCTATCATGTTTTTGGCTTCTAGTGTTGTTGAAAATTCAGCTATCAGTCCTTTAAAATATTTTATTACTTTCTGGATAATCCCTCTTTTGTCGCTGAGTGCTCTTAGAATCTTTCTCAACATCTCTGTGCCAGGTGTGGATTTTGTTGGGCCTTGTGGAGCTGAGACTTGGTATCTTGCATCACTTCTGTTTCTACCTCTTTGTCTCTCTGTGCTGGATTCTAGAGAATGTCTTTAAATCGACTTTCTAGTTAATTACCTTGCCAACTTTGTCTAATCTGTTCTTAATTCTGTCTTGATTTTTAATTTCAGTTATTTTTCATTTTTAGAAATTTTATTTAGTTCTTTTGGAAATCTCCTTGATCCTTTTGATATCCCTGCTTCTTCTGTTCTAATAACCTCTTTATTGAACATACTTATTTTATCTTCTTTGCTGGTATTTTCAGTCTCTGAAACCTTTGCAGGCAGGATTCTGTGATTTCTTCTGGATTCTAATTCTTTGAGTTTTGTAACTCCTGAGTGCTAGTTCCTGGTACTTTATCTGTGAGGAACTATTTGAAGCCTGGATTGGAGATGGATTTCCCCCAGAGAAATTTGCATTTGATTCTATCAGGGACCTGGAAGAAGTCAGCCCTGGAATCTCTTTAAACTAAAATCTGCACGAAAGGTTTTCCCATAACCTGCTTTGTGTGACTCCTGGCTGCAAGGCATGTGAGGACCAGCTTGTGGTTATAAATTCTTGGGGATGTAACTTTTTCTTTACTCCCAACACCAAGGCTTGAGGCAGTGGGCACCTTTGCTTACTGCCCTTGGAGGGGGCAGGAGTGGACATGGGACATACTGGTACTTGTCTTTCACATGCGGGTGCAGCCTTTGGGGTCTCAGCCTCACGTGTTGGGGAAGTGATCTCCTTTAGGCTCCCATTTCAAACTCTTCCTAGGCATCTGTCCTCCTTTCTCCACACCTCAGAGTCTGCAGAAAAGAGAGCTCATGACTCCTGAGGACACTCTGGTGTCTTTGAATGAAGTGGCCTTGGGGCTCTCCACTTCTCTGCTTCCTGCTGTCTCAGATTGTGATCTTTGATTATTCCTGAATCCTTTGGCAGTTCCGTGTTGCATCCTGAAAGATTAGTTGTTATTAGTTTTATTCCTTGTTTGTGTTCGTTTTCAGCAAGAGATTCAGTTCGGGCATCTTGACTTATCTGTCTGTAGTTCGGGCTTGGTGCTTTGGACCGCAGCAGTGTTGGTGGGATGGCACCACTTACCTGTGTTTTGTTTTCCAGCACTGCAGGAGATGCTGCACAACCACTCCTTTGTGGGCTGTGTGAATCCACAGTGGGCCTTGGCACAGCACCAGACCAAGTTATACCTTCTCAACACCACCAAACTGAGGTACGTCAGTGAGCAGTGAAAGAGCAGAGCTACTAGCAGAAAGGTCCTGGAGGCGCAGGTACAAAAGGTCGGGGAGAGCAGCAGCCTGACAGTTGGAAAGGCCCAGGCTTTGAAGTCGGGCAGACCTGGCTTCAAATGCAGGCTCAGCCATTTACCACTGATGTGACAGGGGGCAAGTTTCTTTCCAAAACTTCGTCTCAGACGTCCCATCTGTAAATTGGAATGAACTTGCAGAGGTTTGTGTATAAGAACGACATGAGAAACCCGGTGTTTGGTAGCACTCTGAATGTTGGCTGCTGTGACCCAGGTGTTGAAGGCAGTGCTGGAAGAGAATTCTGGCACCTGCTGTGATGGAGGCTGTAAACGAAAGCAGACCAGATGGCTCCATTCTTCCAGCTTTGGTAACGTAGCGAAGGCTACAGTGACCACCAGACAAGCCAGGGGGTTGAGCACAGAGGGGGTGATCCCAGCAGAGCCATTTGCTCAGTGCATAGCCAGCAACATCTATATGGATTGCTTCCAGGGACCTTAATGGATGAGCTCCTGTTGAGTCTAGAACCGTTTAAATGTGTTGTCCTGTCGGTAGTACAGATGGGAGGGTGCTGCCATCTTCTCTGCCAGGCATCACTTGTCCACTGTGGGGCTCTTTCCCACCAAGCCGCGGTGGTCTCACAGTGCTGCTTGGCTCTGTGCGTGGGGCGGCCACTGTATGTTGCTTGGAGTTGCCACGTGAGATCTGATGCCCTTAACCTAGAACGCGCCCCAATCCAGAGCTCACTGTGGGCCACATTCCTCCTTGATATTGGAACTCATTCCTCTTGGGCATGGAAGCCCTCGGGTGCAGCGCTCTTCAGCTTGTCTTTGCTGGGAGAAGCTTGCTGGGCTTGTCCGGAGGCCTGGCTCTTATAATTTCTTGGGGATTTTACTCCCCTTGTTTGTTCTTCTCCAGCATATCTAAGTGCATGATTCCCAATCTCAGATCACACTTGTGCTCAGGGTCTTTCATTTCAGATACAAACCAGGGTGTCAGAAACCTCTGGCAGCGCCAGGCGGGTGGGGACAGCATGGGTGATCGAAGCCAGACTTGGTCTTAGTGTTTGGACCTGTGCGTGGAGGCCAGCCGGCCAGCTGGCCGGCCAAAGCCCTGGCCACAACACACGTTGGAATCCCAGCTCTGGAGGAAAAGGAGACCTTGGTAGATGGTTTAAAAGGCTCCCCAGCAAGGCAGAACCACCTGTGTCCCAGCCAGGTTTCAAGGGCTGGTTCTCCTTTTGTCCCCACTGCTTGGCTCTCAAGCATGGATTCAGCTTTTCCTTAAAGTCAATTCATTTTTATTTTCAGTGAAGAACTGTTCTACCAGATACTCATATATGATTTTGCCAATTTTGGTGTCCTGAGGTTATCGGTAAGTTTTTTTTCCTGCTTCTCATTCCTGAAATTTCAACAACTGCTCATTTCTGAAAATACCTTTACCCTAATATCTTATTTGTTTTTTTAAAAATATATTTCATTGAGTTTTTGCAGAGGGGGAAGGAGATAGAGAGTTAGAAACATCGATGAGAGAGAAACATCGACCAGCCGCCTCCTGCACACTCCCCACTGGGGATGTGCCCGCAACCAAGGTACATGCCCTTGACCGGAATCGAACCCGGGACCTCTCAGTCGCAGGCCGACGCTCTATCCACTGAGCCAAACCGGTTTCAGCCCTAATATCTTATTTGTAATGTGGTAAATTTTTCTAAATATGCTTAGAAGAGTTTCTGTATTGTACAATTTGCATATGGCGGTATCTTTAATGATAATACAGGTTTATACAAAAACAGCCATTTGGTAGCCAACTTAAACAAATGTTTATTATAGAAATTAATATACCTACTTAAGAAAATTTGGAGATAAAAATAGAAGTAAACATTCTCTAAAGCCTATGACCTAAACACAACCCCAAATGACAATTTTAGTCCATTTTTTTCAGGACGTTTTCATTGCCTAATTTTAGACTTAAAATCATGCTACATATCTATGTAGTTTCATATCTTCTTTCTACGTGTGACATACTCTAAAAAGAACACACAACTTTCTAGAATTTTTATTGGGATCGTGTTGAATCTATGGGTCAAATTGGGGGAGAAATCTTTTGTTATATTTATCCCTTAGTATTTCACATCTTTTGATGCTATTGTAAATGGCATTTTTAAGAAATTCCAATTGTTTTTTGCTATATATAGCAAAGGAACTTGTTCACGTAAGTCTTTTAATTTATTGGCATGAAGTTGTTCATATTTTTTATTCTTTTTCAACTTTATTGATCTCGAAGAACTTACTTTTGGTTTCATTGACTTTTCTCTATTTTTCTGATTTTTATTTCATGGACATTTGTTCTGATCTTTATTTAATGAGATAATCTTTAATGAGATCTTTTATGGCCCAATATATGGCCTATGTTAGTAAATGTTCCATGTTCATTTGGAAAGAAGTTGTATTATTGAGTAGAATGTTCCTTATAAAGGGCATGTACATCAAGTTAATGGTGATGCTCAAATCTTTTGTATGGTGGCTTTGTCTTCTTGTTCTGCCATTTATTGAGAAAGGGGTATTGAAACCTCTAACTATAATTGTGAATTTGTCTATTTCTTTTTGTAGTTCTGTTAGTTTTATCCTGTATATTTTAAAGCTATTATTGAATGTATAAACATTTAGGATTGTTAGGTCCTTTTGATTGAGTCCTCTATTATGTAAAAATAAGAGCAGTGTACTGTGGGTTTATAACATGTAAGAGGAAAATGTATGACCACAGTAACATCAGAAAGGGAGAAATGGAGGAAAATTGAGGCATTTTATTTTTAACAGATTTGTCTTCCTAATTAGGTGATTGACCTGAAATGTCATTTGATTTAACTAATTCACCCTCCCCATAGCTTCAGTTATGGGTAAGGCAGTAGAAAGAAACAATCTACCTAGTGATTTGCTAGAAATATGGAAGTGGTGTCCTTAAAGCTACACAGAGGGAAAGTGCCTCCTCGCCGCTTCACCCCACCCACCTGCTCAGGAGGCTGTCTGTGTCACATCTCTGTTGAAATGGCCATTGAGGAGGAGGAAGAGGTTTTATTGTTGTTTTCTTGGGAATGAGTGTTAGATTTGTGGGTTCTCACCTCCTGTGGTGATGATGGTTTTGTGGGAATGCAGGCTTCATTTGGATGTGCTAAACACTTGCTCCTTCCTAGGAGCCAGCCCCGCTCTTTGACCTCGCCATGCTCGCGTTAGACAGTCCCGAGAGTGGCTGGACAGAGGAAGACGGTCCCAAAGAAGGACTTGCCGAATACATTGTTGAGTTCCTGAAAAGGAAGACCGAGATGCTAGCAGACTACTTCTCTTTGGAAATTGACGAGGTGCGTATGGCTGTATTTACGCCTCTGTCGTATTCTTCAGACAAGAGTCAAGTTTTGTAGTTGGTCCAAAGTCAGGATGAGACTCGGCATTTGCATTTCTAGGTTAGACAAGTTTCTTCATTCACTCGTGGCCATTCCTGTCCCAGGGTGAAGGCCCTGACAGGAGGGAGGCTGAGTCCAGTCCCTGCAGGCCAGTGACCCAGCACCTGCTCTCCGTTTCTTCCTCTTACCCCGTAGTCTTTGGGACTCTATTTCTTGATAGGCTCCTTGGTTGGTCCAAAGAAAAGGGTGTTCTGCTACATGTCAGGATAGAAAGCTCTCTTGTGTTTAGAGCTCCTGACCCCTGTGCCCCGCCCAGTTAAGCACATGGTCACCAGAATCCCAGGTGTGAGGACAGACCTGGAGGAAGCTCTGGGGGGAAATGGAATGTTTAAATTACACTGTAATTGCATTCTTTCTTTCCCCCTGTCCTGCCCTTTTTTTCTTCAAGCAGGAAGGGAACCTGATTGGATTACCCCTTCTGATCGATAACTATGTGCCCCCGTTAGAGGGTCTGCCGATCTTCATTCTTCGACTAGCCACTGAGGCAAGTGATTGAGCCAGATCTAAAGTAGGTGGGCACGTGAGTGTGTGCTGGGGGAGAGGGCACAGGCCCACCTGCATTCGGAATGCTGAAGATGAAAAGGGTGAAGTAGCTAAAGGCCCTCCTCTCCTCCTCACCTACCCCAGCAGTATTCAGCAGTTCCAGTTTACGGCTTTAATGTGTAAAAAGTCACATTCATTTTAAAGTCATCGGTGATCTCCATTTAACAGTGAAATGTGTTTAAAGCACATACTGATGTTGAGGTATTGAATTCTCTCTGGACCAGGTGAACTGGGACGAGGAAAAGGAATGTTTTGAAAGCCTCAGTAAAGAATGTGCTATGTTTTACTCCATCCGGAAGCAGTATATATCCGAGGAGTCGACCCTCTCAGGCCAGCAGGTACTGTGGTGCTGCTGCTGGCAGCCCAGGACTGGGATGGGCCCTCACACCACCTTTCGGAGAGGAAAGTTGCTCATCTCTAAATTCCTAGGATTTCATTGCACATAAGGGCACAATGGTCAGCTTTTATTCGTGAATTTTATTCTCTTCTGCTGGCCTAGAAGGTACCTCCAGAGTGATCTCACTGTGAAATATAAAGTCACAGTCAACACAGTGAGAGATGGGAGGTTGAGTTAGATTGTCCCGGGCAAGTGGGTCCATATCACTCATTGTTAGCAGCTTCTGGACCAGCCTCCCAGTCTCTTTTAGCTTTTGCCTTACTCTACATCTGACCGCTGCTTTGCCAGGAAAGCAAGGCTGTACTGAGGTCAGGTGCCCCGCTCTTCTTACAGAAGGTCAGCTTAATAGAAAAATGGCTGAGGTGCCTCACGTTTCTGTGTCACTTTTTCCAGTCAGGTGACAATGCTTTTCAGTCAGCAACTATTTCGGAGAGGTTGGATGGGTGAGGGCAGTGGGGTTGAAATGGTCTAAGAATCAAGGGTAGGGCAGCAGCTTTACATGGTACATGACCATCCTCGGTGACTACTTAGTCATCCTCAGGTGAAGCCACACACGTTTCATAGGGAGGAAACCAAGGGACAGTTGGCATGCTCAGTTCTGAGCCGATAGGTGTTGAGTAGCGATTCAGTCCTGTTGCCAAAGCCCCTAGGGAATAAATATCTCATTGCAGAGGAGGTGGTAAGGTAGCACCCTTACCGAACTGTGCTGAGTAGCTCATTGGATTGGAAAAATGTACTTCGGTGAAGGATGGATGAGAAAACATTTCCCTTTACATGAAATAGCTACGGCTCAGTAGGAGAGGGGGGAGGGAGCAAAATAATCCCCATTATATTTCATTTCACTCTGTGGAGCTTCTAGGAAAACAGGGCTACATGAAGACCCCCAAATTGGGTGGTGAATTAGAAACTTACTTTCTACTCTTGCTGCCCAAACACCATAGTCAGGATTGGACACTATGTTAGATCCTGCCACAGTAACACACTCCCCCGAATGGAAACAGAGGTTCCCGGGGAGAAAGCCTCATGAGGGCCTGGCTTCACTTCCCCTATTTCCTCAGGTTCAGACCGATAGGATCTGAGAGGCTGGCATACATGTTTCACGAGCATCAGGTAACAGCCATTATACAGGAACAAGACTGCTGGTCCGGTGCATGTCAGCTAGGAAGCCAGAATGTACCGGGATGCAAACGGGGAGACGTGACACCTAATGTCTTTTCCAGATTGAAGCACCTGGCTCCACTCCAAACCCCTGGAAGTGGACTGTGGAACACGTTATCTATAAAGCCTTCCGCTCACACCTCCTGCCTCCCAAGCATTTCACAGAAGATGGGAATGTCCTGCAGCTCGCTAACCTGCCTGATCTGTACAAAGTCTTTGAGAGGTGTTAAATACGGTCACTTACGGACACGGGGTGTGCTGTTCTTCCTCTGTACCCTGATGCGGTAGGTCCTAAGGTTGAAGACTCACATTTGCCTTCTAGATAGTAGCACTCCTTATGCTTGGTGACTCGACTATAAATAAATTGTCAGATGTGTCCTAAGATTTCTTATTTAATTTCATCACACTTTAAAGTTTTTCTATGTTGATTTTCACCTAGTATATACCTGGTAGTGTTAATCTCAAAAGCAATTTGAAAGCCCCCTGGACATCTAAGAATTCTAAAGAGGCCTTGAAGATTTCATAGATAATGCTTTGATTTGATTCTTTATAATATCCGGTGATAGATAATTACGTTAGTTCAGGTGCCTTTATTTTTTTATTTTATTTTATTTTTTAATATATCAGAGAGGAAGGGAGAGGGATAGAGAGCTAGAAACATCAGTGAGAGAGAAACATCGATCAGCTGCCCCCTGCACACCTCCCACTGGGGATGTGCCCGCAACCAAGGTACATGCCCTGAACCGGAATCGAACCTGGGACCTTTCAGTCCGCAGGCCGATGCTCTATCCACTGAGCCAAACCAGTCAGGTGCCTTTTAAAAAGGTCCTAAATATATAAAAGGCTCTGATGACACAGTCTATTGAGAAAGCTGAATTGATAATCTATTAGTACCTTCAATAACCAAAGAATAATTGATTCTTAATTTTAAAAAAGCTTGAGAGGAAAAAGTACTCCTTATCCAGTCTATAACTGGTATGAATTCTTAAGGAAGCCCACTTTGTTAATGGCTAGGACTACTACCAGCTTGAGATGATTAAAGTTCTAGGTATTCTCGTTTGAAGGATGATGTAAAAATACAAACTATAAGTGCATTAAAATAAGCTACTTTAATATTAACCTGCATGAATAGAAATGTGCAGTTCCCATGGGGAAGAAGAATGCCTCTATTTCTAAGGTAAAATCCGTATTACAAGAGTCAAAAAAGTAAGTTGTTAGAAAGAACAGAAAATGATCTTACGAAGAAGTGGAGCCATTCCATGTGGAAAAGATGGACGAGACAGATCAAGTTTAATGCATGGAACTTCCATAAAGTAGACCCCAGCATCTCAGAAGTGAGAGTCCATGAGCCTGGGAGGCACACAGGCTGAGTGGCCATGGTGAAGTGGAAGAGCTAGACCACACAGACTGTTTCCAAGGCCACAAGAGCTGGGCCTTGTCTGTTGGTTCCAGCTGTGGGATTCTCAGATACATCTGCTTTTGAGAACACCCCTCCCCAACTAGGAAATCCTCTCAGTTCAGGAGACTGGTTTCCATATTTTAAAAATAAAGGGCTGCCCTAACTGGTTTGGCTCAGTGGGCAGAGCGTCAGCCTGTGGACTCAAGGGTCCCAGGTTCGATTCTGGTCAAGGGCATGTACCTTGGTTGTGGGCACATCCCCAGTAGGGAGTGTGCAGGAGGCAGCTGATCAATGTTTCTCTCCAATCGATGTTTCTAACTCTCTATCCTTCTCCCTTCTTCTCTGTAAAAAATCAATAAAATATATTAAAAAAAAATAAAGGGCTAAACAATAATGTATTCACATCTGAGTACCCTTTATTATCTAGTTTCAGGTCTGATTTGATTCTCATGTGGCCTGGATTCATTAGACTTTCCCCAATACTTTTTGTGTAAACACACTGAAGATGCAATAACCATTCCCATAAAACCACCTTGGTTCTGAGAGCAAAAGAGAATCACAAGTTCTATAAAATGGCTGCACTTGATGATAGAAACCTCTTGATCTGGGTGACTTAAAAATGAAACTGGCCCTAACTGGTTTGGCTCAGGGGATAGAGCATCGGCCTATGGACTGAAAGGTCCCGGGTTCGATTCCAGTCAAGGGCATGTGCCTTGGTTGCGGGCACATCCCCAGTGGGAGGTGTGCAGGAGGCAGCTGATCGATGTTTCTCTCTCATCAATGTTTCTGGCTCTCTATCCCTCTCCCTTCCTCTCTGTAAAAAATCAATAAAATATATTTTTTAAAAAAATGAAACTGAAGTTCTTTTAAAAAGACAAAGTTCTACATTCCAGAACTTTCCTTAGGAAGGAGAGGAAAGAGGGGCAAGATAAGGCACGGTTGCCATGATTTGTTTTAAAGGCTCCTCTAACAAAATGAATGTGTCAGTAGCCAATTGTCGTCAGCCAAAGGGTGTGTTTAATAGACTCTCCAGGCAGATGTCCCACCTGCCTGTCCCCCCACCCCCCAAACTGAGTTTGTCTGAGGTTTCATTTCACCAAGGAGCAGCAGATGAAATACCTTAAAAGATACAGCACAGTTGATGTTGAAGACTAAGGACCCTACTCTTACTTTAAGAGTATTAGCCCTTGGCTTTCCCTGCCCCATGCAATAAAGCAAGTTTTATATACACTCCCCATATCTTTTTCTAACATTTTCTTATATAAATTTAAATATTTTACAAAAAAGGCTTTTTTTTCTCCAAACATATAAATTTTAGTGAAATATATATTGCCCGCCTGTGAACTTGTTTTTTCACTAAAATATAAATGCTATCTGACATGAGGGTACATGTCTTTGACCACTGGAGATCACTGAAGTCTGAATTGCACTGTGGAGAAGGCACTTGTGTTTTCTCTGAGGTCTCCGGCAGGTAGCTCAGTGAGCACTCAGAATCGCTGTCCTCCAACGCCCGGGCCAAGGCCTGCGAGTGCCCAGTCACTGAGGCAGCTGGGGGCAAATGGTGAGTAAACTTGATGCTAAAATTACGGAAATAAAAAACCAAAATAAAAATAGCATGGACCAGTTCTTAGTCTAGAATTAAACTACAAACAAAATCCAAAGTGTTCATTCATGAAGATTCAAACCTATTTCATTCTCTCATAAATTATAAAATACAAAGGTGGCTATATTAACGACAAAACTCAAACAGCACTGAGGGGGGTTTGTCAGTGGGCAGAAGTCCGTGCCTCTGGGTGGCCCGAGCTCCCAGGTGGGCGGGGGCCTCCCTACTGCTGGGCCAGGAGAGCTGTCCTGTTGGCCTTCATCTTCTCCAGCCGCTTGGCCAGGTGGCTGTTGGTCATCTCCACTTCCTCAATCTTGTCCAGTGCGGTTCGTAACTAGAGGCAGGGAGAACTTGGTCACTTCAGAGTCAGAAACAAAACCAAGTGCCACCTTATTTTCAACTTTCCGGGACGTGGACGCGCTGCTGACTGATGGGCTCGCATAGGATCCCACAGCCTAATTTTTTTTTTCAATCAGCCACTTGTAACAGTGATAAGAGTATTAGTCATAGACAGGATCTACAGAAGTTGGAGAAATAGACCTGATCTAAAAAATAAAAAGTCTCCCTTTTCTTATGTAACTGAACAAAACATAAAATGGCAGTCACTGTGTGGGTCAAACACCAACAGAAAAGAGTAAGTGACTCCACTGCTGTTTCCTTCAGATTGGACCCAGGATTAAATTCCTTATGCAACAAAGAATTTACTTCCCAAGGATATTTTCCTTTTAGGAATGTTTTCCGGAAAGCATGTTAGAACAAGTACCTCTCGTTGTAGCTTCCTTTTTTCTGCTTTCAGTTCATCTTCCACTTTCTCGGCATTCTCAGCAGTCGGCAGCAGTTCTATATCTCAGCACCTGTCCCTCAAGCCGGCTAATCTGTAAATATGAGAACACAGCCTCTGGAACTGAGCACTGGGAGCCATCACTTTTTTTGCAGCCAAGATGGAAATACAATGTTATTAAAACTCTAAGTAATCTAACACTAACAAGTCCCCTTAGGGTGAGTCATAGGTCCTCTCAGAGCCCAACTGCTATTTATAAATAAAGAAATGTCCCCAAAGGATTACAGCTGTAGAGTCATTATAAGCCAATTTCCCATGTTAAGTTTTATGATGACCATAGTGTTTAAGTGCCAAAGTAACATCACAGAAGGAGACTCACTGAATGGAAAAGTTTTTGGACATTTTGAAATGTGCAATAAAGCATTTTGTTATAAACTATGATCTCTCTGAATTCTCATGAAATATCTACAACTAGAATTGCAGCTACAGTTTTCTATATTTTTACAGGAAACAGAAGGCGGATGTGCCTTGCCAGATGTTCTCTGCTGGCTTTCCCACTTTAATATAGAGCTTTTCTAGAGATCCAAGTGTAATGGCCGCCCAAAGGCATGCATGGATTAGCCATTTAGATGCAGGAGGCAGATGCGTTTTAAGGGAATTTAAATCACTTGGCACCATTAGAAGTACTTACACTTTGCTCCAAGGTGGTTATATCCTGTTCTGCTTTTGAAAGCTTAAACTTGTATTCACTAATTTGTCTATTAGCATCTCCTAGAACAGAAGAGAAAAATCAGTCACCTCTGAGGGAAGGTGTGACCCACCAGGCAATGACTCCCTCTGAAGCACAAGAGAGGGCCGTGTGGTCTAAAAAGACAAAACAAATGGACACAGGGCAACCATGGCACCTCCGGCAACCCAGCCCCTGGAACTGTGGACACTACAGAAGCTCTAGCACTTGTGTTACAACCTTATCCCTCAGATCAGGAGTTAGAGGAAAATTCACTCTTTGCCCCATAATGTGTGTAGGTAGAGCGTTGAGCAAGGAGCCCTGTCAGCCAGCTTCTCTGCAGTCCTATGGCTCAGGGAGCCTCGGTGCTCACAGACTAGGCCCTCCATTTTCCCAGACCCCAGTCCTGCACCTTCCCACCGCTGTCCTTCTGCTCCCCCATACCTCTAATGCCCCTTGCTCCTCACCCCCGACTTAAGTCTTAACTGACGTCCAAGGTTATGCTCAATTTTCACCTCCTGCATGACTCTCTTAAAATAACCTTAACTTCTCTTGTTGCATTTTGCCTGCGTTCTTTTATAATAGTTACCATGCTTGCTTAACATTTATTTGTAAGGAGAGAGGCCCTGTCTAGCCTTCTTGAATCTACCTCTGTATCTAGCTAAATGCTTTGCACAGTGGATGCTTAATAAATATTTGCTGAAACAAATGCTTTTCCATACATATGATAATGTGGTATGGGTAGAGCTATATAAATCAATAGCTATACATTTGACCTAAGAAGTCATTTAATAAGTTTATAAATGACGGGGGAGAAAAAAATCCCTCCAACAAGTCAAATTTAATAAAAATAGCCCTCTGAAATGATTACA